GACACACACACACACACACACACACACACACACACACACACACACACACACACACACACACACACACACGCACACACACACACACACGCACACGCACACACACACACACACACACGCACGTGTCTCTAACAAGCAAACAGTTCAAAGTACTGAAGCCAAGAATATAGATAAGAATAAGGGAACGCCCCGGACTTGTTAACAACATAACCAATTTAGCTGCGGCTGGTCACGGAGAGAAAAGCTGGAGTGACAAGGCTCTTCAAATTCCTCGACAGAATGGCGATTAAACACACGTGAAAAGGATGGAGGGTCAGTTTACATATATATATTGAGTGTATTGACTGAACAGAACCTTGTGAAGAACATTTCGAAGAACATTTTTAAGAACATTATTGTTTCACCTTGAGAGTATTTGCAAACTAGGATGCATATGGTATCAAATATCAGATCTGAAATTGGACAGAGAGCCATAATAGTAATTCTTTGTGTTGAACCTCCATTATTTGGAGGTTCAACAAGGGTTTGAATGGGCAAGGGTTTGAATGGGGTCAAGATGTGACCCCTTATCACAGGCCAGAGTTCGTGAGTGGTTCTCACATTCATGGGAGGAGCTAACTTATTCACTCGAGCACAGGGTTGTGTGTCATCTGCGAGCAACTAAGACATGTGTAGGGTGAGTGTAGAGGTGGAGAGCCCGTAGTGCCAGGCCTGGCGGCCAGAGTGCCACCCCCGGGGGGGGGGGGAGAGGTTCATGGCAGCATTACCTTGACCTAGAACTTCTGACTCTTAGGATCCACAAAGTTTAATTCTTGTGTCAAAAGAACATATTTTTGTGTGAATTTTTAATATTCTTCTTTATCTCATTTTTTTCCTAGTTGAATTTATTGTAATAATTGGATCTAGCTATTTGTAGTAAGGCGTAATCTAGCTGGTAATCTTGTACAAGAGTCTACCTAATACCACTTGTTTGTCTTATTAGTAATGATTGACATAATGCTTAACGAGGCCGTGTTGTCCAGTACTAGAGTGCGTGGTTACTAACGATGCCTTGTGAGGTAAGTAACGAGTGAAGTGTTCCCGTTGGTCGCGTGTGAGTGTGTTAACGAGAGGTGCGGACGTGTACTGTACACACAACTCCAGGCACCATTAGCGCCAGGAAACACCTGCCCAGAAGTGGGTGGAGAGGCGCGAGAGACGTACACCAATACTGGCTTGTTAAACGAGAACCATTTTGGCAAATTTCCAGCGCGTTATGATAAGCTATACATAGAGTGTGTTGCTGCGGTTGTAAAGTATCACACACACACACACACACACACACACACACACACACACACACACACACACGGGGGGCGCTACAGAGAGTTGCAGGCTCAGTGTTACAATGTTACTGGGCTGTTACCTCAGGTAGGCGGTAACAAACACATCTGACGGTCTCAGAATGGATTGCGGACAAATTAAATCTTGTGCGACAACGTGACACACAATAAGACCAACTGACACATAAAAGACACATTACACAGGAGTATCGTTGTCTCAGACACAGAGCAAGAACTGAAGCATCACAGCATCACAGCGGGAGTGATCTCTGTGGAGGCTGGCCACACAGATGCACTTGAGAGATGCCAGGAAGAACATCTCCGGTACATAGGTAGTAAATGAATTACGAAACCTCACAGCAAAAAATCATATGTAATAGTTTAATACGCGTATATAACAAGGGACTGTGTGTTTAGAATCATTTCCTTAGATAACGGACATTTGGGTGAATCGGGTCCGAGAGCTGAAGACTGGTCCAGCAAACACTGTTGGGAGGTACAGATTTACACACAACTTACAGTCTTTCTCTTGATTTAATTAAATTATAGTAAACATGGTAATATTTGTGACTGGTTTAATTTTCTCTTGTTCTGGCATGGGTAATGTTGATGTTCTGTTGTTCTCTCTCTCTCTCTCTCTTCTCTCTCTCTCTCTCTCTCTCTCTCTCTCTCTCTCTCTCTCTCTCTCTCTCTCTCTCTCTCTCTCTCTCTCTCTCTCTCTCTCTCTCTCTCTCTCTCTCTCTCTCTCTCTCTCTCTCTCTCTCTCTCTCTCTCTCTCTCTTTCTTTCTCTCTCTCTCTCTCTCTCTCTCTCTCTCTCTCTCTCTCTCTCTCTCTCTCTCTCTCTCTCTATTTCTCTTTCTCTCTCTCTCTGTCTCTCTCTCTCTCTCTCTCCTACACCCTCTAAATTAAAACGTCCCATATAAAGTTCTAAGATCGTCTTATGAATTAAATATGACGTCAAAAAACTCCATTTCGTCTCCTCGAACCTCTTCCTTTCCCAGAGCATTTTCTGCAGTTTTAATCTTTTTATTGTCAGCTTCTCTGGATTTTTAGCGCTTTTCAATACTTTTCCAAGATGAAATTGTAGTCGAGATATCGCCTTTAGACATAACCCTAGACGCAGCTAAAACTGGTTCTTGAGGCGCCAGGGAGCTGATATTTAGCTTCTAGGAACAGTCACTAGGGGGGACTTTAAGCTAATTCTAGAAATGATCAACATGGCCACCAGAGGGCTCGTAACGTCATTCAGGAAGCGTTCACTGTAGAGGGACCTTTAGTTTGTTCTAAAAAGATCCTACAGGGGAGTTTTACGTATGTTGTAAAACTGACTATTTAGCTCTCAAGTTGGTTCAGGAAACGTCCATCATAGGACGTTCAGGGAACCTAGTAATTCAGGCTTCCTAAACCTAACCTAATAACCTAGCCCTCAAATCACTGTTGTTGGCTAAAGGCGTAACCCATCGGCTGACGTGGCGTTAGTCTGACATTTGGAAACTGTGGCGTTACCGCGCTAGGCTCAGGACGAGCCGAAAACGTCTCTTCCCATATTATTATTGTCTCATGTGAGCCCAGGACTCACAACAGGCTTGTTAAACTGGAGCGTTTCAGAGGAGAGGTGCAGGGAGAGGCAGGCCCAAGTGCCCCGTCATGGTCTTCCCGAATGAACAAATTGTTTTAGAAGATTGTTCAAGATTCTTCTCAAGACATTTTTTCAATATTCTGATTTTATTTTTTAATGGAGGCTGTTACAAGCGTTTATATTTGGGTGAATCACACACACATATTGGGAGGAGTAAGTGTTTATGTGAGCGTGAATGTTTACGTTCTTGATGTCTTGATGTTTTAATGTGCAGAAGCAACACAAAAGAGAAAATAAATAAAGCAAGTCAATAAACTTGACAAAATCTTAAACAATCGGCGATAATTACAAAGAATGCGAGTTACCTCAAGCTCTTTATCTCTCCCTCTTTGTCTCCATCTCTCCCTCTTTGTCTCCATCTCTCCCTCTATATAATCTACTCCTTCCCTTCCGTCTTACCTCCCTTCTTCCACCTTCACTACCTGCCTCCTTCCCTTCCTCCCTAGGAGCGAGGGACCTCCTGGCGCTCCCTCGGCGCGCCTGCTTGCTGCAGTGCTTGATGTGATTACCTCACTCGACCAGACAGGCAGGCTGGGGGAGAGGCAGTAGGGGAGGGAGGGAGGGAGGGAGGGAGCTGATGCCTCTCCGTCTCCTGTGTAGAGACAAGGCAGCAGAGACTGTGGCAATCTGAGGGGTAAACTGTGAGTGGAGACAAGCCAAACTTCCCTTCCTTAAGTGGAGGCTCTTACGCTGCGGGTCCCTGGCCTCTGCTCTCTACCTCTGGCAGGAAGAGCAAGGTCACCTTCTTATCCTTATTTTGATTCTCACTCATTCCTCCAGTTCTCGTGTGAGGCACTTTACTCCTAATATATCATTTCTCTATTATTTTCTTACACACACACACACACACACACACACACACACACACACACACACACACACACACACACACACACACACACACACACACACACAAAATGCACATGAAATGCCAATCGGGGCCCGCGACCATTATGTTTTTAGTCTATCAATACATAGTGACAATGAAGACCAAAGAGAGATGTACTCGTGAGAATGTGAGGCCAGCATACAGGAGAGGGCAATACCAGAAGGTCAGAGAACTCCCGGAGTGGGTAGAATGGGGGAGGAGACCTCAGAGGAGAATCAACACAGGACATTATGGACTACAAAACGAACAAACTAAATGAAGCTGAAGAGGGATTTACACCCAAACTAAGGGTTCAGGGAAGAAAGACGAGCATAAGTCCATGGTTCAACAGTGTCTGGAAGCAAACAGAAGAAACAAAAGAGCGTGGAAGAAATATAGAGAACACAGAACACAGAAGGAAATCATTATGTATGAAACGAGGCTAGAAATGAGTACACAAAAACTAGGAGAGTGGCGTACTGAAGTTCGAGAAGTACTTCAGTACGAGAATGACATTACATACAAGGCGAGGTCCCAGTCAAAACTGTTCTATAGTCATATCAGGAGGAAAATGACTGTGAGTAAGCAGGTTATCAGACTTGACAAGTGACGGAGAACACACGGAAAATGATAAGGAGGTAAGCGGAAAACTTGACAAAAGGTTTCAGGAAGTATTAATGTTGGTTCCTGATTTGCCACTAGAGCTTAGAGCCTAAATTAGACTAACAATTCCACAGGAAAGCCTCACTGAAATGACAGTGACACAAGAAGAAGTAAAAAAAAACGCAACTGCAGGAACTGGTTGTGACAAAAGCCGTGGGTGAAACTTTGTCCGTGGGACCAGACAAAATATCGCCTTGAATACTAAACGAAGCAGCTGAAGCATTGTGCAGCCCACTTGCCATAATTAAATTCTCTTTAGATGCGGGATAATATCTTGACTGTTGGTAAACAGCTAATGTTTTCTTAACCAATCTACTAGAAGTGGGAAGACAGAAACGGTTAAACTACAGACCCATTTCACTAACAACTATCTCCTGCTAGTTGCTAGAGAGACTGATCTGAAGCAGGCGTGTGCAACATTTAGAACTGATCAGTTTTGTCTCTAAGCATCAACACGGATTTAATAAAGGAAAATCTAGCTAGAAAAACTTGCTGGAGTTCTATAACAAGATGACGGAAATCAAACAGGAGGAAGAAAGACTGGCAGACTGCATATTCCTCGACTGTCAGAAAGCATTTGATACGGTCCTGCCCGAAGGACTCCTACTCAAACTTCAGACGCAGGCTGGAGTATCGGGAAGAGTCGCAAAGTGGGTCAGGGAGCATCTCTCAGGAAGGAAATAAAGGGTTACAGTGAGAGCAGAGACATCAGAGTGTAGAGAGGTTACGAGCGGAGTACCACAAGGGTTGTTTCTAGGGGCTTAACTGCTACGCCTGATCTGTGTCAACGATTTGACCGAGGAAATTAGCTCCTTCGTATCAATGTTTCCACATCATGCAAAACTGGTGACAAGAGTCAGGACACAGATAGATTGTGAGGCATTGCAAACGATTTTGGACAAACTCCAGAAATGGTCTGAAAACTGGCTGCTAGACTTTAACCCAGCCAAATGCAAAGTTATGAGGATTTGAAGCAGGAGAGCGACGACCAGTACAGCAGTATAGGATGAAGGGAAGACAAATTCTTCCATCAGAAAAGGAGAAGACCTGGGAGTGGACATGACCCCAGATCTGATGCCAGAACCACACACTAACAGAACAACACGCAGCTGCACATGACACACCTCCCATATACAGTATCTCGCCTCAGGTCTCAGTCTTCTTATTTTACCTTCTATTATCTTATTCTCTTGACGTGTATCCTTCGTGTCTCTGGAAGGTGTGAATGTTATTTTAATTTCTCTGTGATTCTATGATCTGTTTGGTTTACACCTAATGCACTACCTAGAGCGCCAGATACTCTACCTAGAGCGTCAGATACTCTACCTAGAGCGCCAGATACTTTACCTAGAGCGCCAGATACTCTACCTAGAGCGTCAGATACTCTACCTAGAGCGTCAGATACTCTACCTAGAGCGTCAGATACTCTACCCAGACTACCTGTTGACCTACCTATCCCTAGACCCCTCTTTCAATCACCTCATACAACTAAGCTCAGCATGGTAAACTCTCTAAGTATTTACGTTCCTATCTCCTCCTGACACTTGGTATATTTTCTTCTCTCCCTCTGACACTTGGTATATTTTTCCTAATTGCATGCCTGCAGATTTATTTTGTGCCCAGGAGACCATTCCTCGCACGGTGCCAGGGGGCCACCGTGCTTCTCACCAGGAGACCATTCCTCGCACGGTGCCAGGGGGCCACCGTGCTTCTCACCAGGAGACCATTCCTCGCACGGTGCCAGGGGCCACCGTGCTTCTCACCAGGAGACCATTCCTCGCACGGTGCCAGGGGGCCACCGTGCTTCTCACCAGGAGACCATTCCTCGCACGGTGCCAGGGAGCCACCGTGCTTCTCACCAGGAGACCATTCCTCGCACGGTGCCAGGGGCCACCGTGCTTCTCACCAGGAGACCATTCCTCGCACGGTGCCAGGGGGCCACCGTGCTTCTCACCAGGAGACCATTCCTCGCACGGTGCCAGGGGGCCACCGTGCTTCTCACCAGGAGACCATTCCTCGCACGGTGCCAGGGGGCCACCGTGCTTCTCACCAGGAGACCATTCCTCGCACGGTGCCAGGGGGCCACCGTGCTTCTCACCAGGAGACCATTCCTCGCACGGTGCCAGGGGGCCACCGTGCTTCTCACCAGGAGACCATTCCTCGCACGGTGCCAGGGAGCCACCGTGCTTCTCACCAGGAGACCATTCCTCGCACGGTGCCAGGGGGCCACCGTGCTTCTCACCAGGAGACCATTCCTCGCACGGTGCCAGGGAGCCACCGTGCTTCTCACCAGGAGACCATTCCTCGCACGGTGCCAGGGGGCCACCGTGCTTCTCACCAGGAGACCATTCCTCGCACGGTGCCAGGGGGCCACCGTGCTTCTCACCAGGAGACCATTCCTCGCACGGTGCCAGGGGGCCACCGTGCTTCTCACCAGGAGACCATTCCTCGCACGGTGCCAGGGGGCCACCGTGCTTCTCACCAGGAGACCATTCCTCGCACGGTGCCAGGGGCCACCGTGCTTCTCACCAGGAGACCATTCCTCGCACGGTGCCAGGGGGCCACCGTGCTTCTCACCAGGAGACCATTCCTCGCACGGTGCCAGGGGGCCACCGTGCTTCTCACCAGGAGACCATTCCTCGCACGGTGCCAGGGAGCCACCGTGCTTCTCACCAGGAGACCATTCCTCGCACGGTGCCAGGGGGCCACCGTGCTTCTCACCAGGAGACCATTCCTCGCACGGTGCCAGGGGGCCACCGTGCTTCTCACCAGGAGACCATTCCTCGCACGGTGCCAGTGGGCCACCGTGCTTCTCACCAGGAGACCATTCCTCGCACGGTGCCAGGGAGCCACCGTGCTTCTCACCAGGAGACCATTCCTCGCACGGTGCCAGGGGGCCACCGTGCTTCTCACCAGGAGACCATTCCTCGCAGGGTGCCAGGGAGCCACCGTGCTTCTCACCAGGAGACCATTCCTCGCACGGTGCCAGGGGGCCACCGTGCTTCTCACCAGGAGACCATTCCTCGCACGGTGCCAGGGGGCCACCGTGCTTCTCACCAGGAGACCATTCCTCGCACGGTGCCAGGGGGCCACCGTGCTTCTCACCAGGAGACCAGTCCTCGCACGGTGCCAGGGGGCCACCGTGCTTCTCACCAGGAGACCATTCCTCGCACGGTGCCAGGGGGCCACCGTGCTTCTCACCAGGAGACCATTCCTCGCACGGTGCCAGTGGGCCACCGTGCTTCTCACCGCACCAAACGACCACGCTCCAAAATTCTTTTTTGTTTTATGTTGTTGTGTTGAGTGCGCAGTTTTCCTGATTAGCTTAGCGGGTCACCTGTTATAACACCACTAGTGGCTTCCTCAGTACCTGTGGTGTACCTGTGGTGTACCCGTGGTGTACCTGGGGCACCTCAGTACCTGTGGTGTACCTGTGGTGTACCCGTGGTGTACCTGTGGTGTACCCGTGGTGAACCTGTGGCACCTCAGTACCTGTGGTGTACCCGTGGTGTACCTGTGGTGTACCCGTGGTGTACCCATGGTGTACCTGTGGTGTACCTCAGTACCTGTGGTGTACCTGTGGTGAACCTGTGGCACCTCAGTACCTGTGTACCACCTCAGTGTCCCTTCATATTTGTCCTGTTCTGTATGTGTACTCACCTAGTTGTGCTTGCAGGGTCGAGCCTCAGCTCTTAAGCCCCGGCCTTTTGACCTCCATTAGTTAAAAACAGTGATTCATTTCAATCGTTTACCTGATCATATTTACATTTAAAACTGTGTATGTAATTAGCTTCGATAACTGCCTCTTCCAGTCCGGTCCACTGATATAACTGCGACTCTCAGACTGACAAAGTTCTTTCTGACATCCCTGTGACTCATCTCTCTCTCTCTCTCCAGTTCCCAATGTTCTCTCGTTGTTCTCTTGTTCCGTAATTTGAACATTGCTTTGTTATGAACTTTGTCAGTCAGCCTCAGTGTCTTCTACGTCGTGATCATGTCTGTCCTGTTCCTTCTTTCCTTCAGTGTAGTGAGGGTCCAGCTTCCTCAGACTTTCTTGACAACTCAGTCCCCGTAGCTCGGGAACCAGACTTGTTGCTTACATTTTTTTTTATTTTTTTTAGTTTGTTTTTGTTTGTTTAGGTAGGGGCTCCATGCTGGGGCAGCATATTAATAACAGGCCTCACCAATTATGTATACAGCGCTCACATGTATACGCAAATTAGGTGTATACATACATTTGTAAAGTTGCTGAAGGATAACCGGACGTTTGCCAGCATGCTGCCCTCGTTATCTTCCCTCTGGTGTTAGATCTCCAGTTATCTCCACTAATATGTCTTTCTCTTTTTCAGATCTTGAAAGTTGTCTTTCCTTCACCCTGTACTATATTTGGGGTCTTCTTGTTCTAATTCATCTCCTCATAACCTTGCACTTGTCGGGATTAAAGTCATGCAGCCGTTTCTCAATGTCTGGGGAGTGTGTAGGTCACCTTGTAATGTCTTCCAGTCCTCCTCAGGTGTGGCTCGCCTCATTAGCTTAGTATCGTCAGCAAACATGGATAAGACTGAATTGAGTTCCTCGGTTAGATGGTTTACATATAGTAGGAGGAGGTAGGGTGGTTCCTAGTACCAACCCTTCTGGTATGCCAGTAACTACCAGTAACAGTAGTGAACACTGAACAATATGTTCAACACATCTCTCATCTTGTGCTTGGAGTACAGATGAAAATGTATATATGCTGGTTAGCATTGTAAATGTGTGGCCACGTCTGTGGTAGAAACAAAACTTCCAGTCTCCCTACCCCCACTTTCCCTCCCACATCCCCCCCCCTTCCCTTTTCCATACACCCTCCCGCACTGATTCTAGTCCCAGCTATTGTTAGCAAGTGGGCAGGGCACGGTGTTTGTTGACGCAGGGCCCGCTTAGTCTCCAGGTCCACTCCCCACCACCGCTGTCACCACTACACACACACACACACACACACAGGGGCCTGGTAGCCTGGTGGATATATAGCGCGCAGGGACTCGTAATTCCGTGGGGCGGGTTCGATTCCCGCACCAGGCAGAAACAAATGGGCAAAGTTTCTTTCACCCTGAATGCCCCTGTTACCTAGCAGTAAATAGGTACCGTGGAGTTAGTCAGCTGTCACGGGCTGCTTCCTGGTGTGTGTGTGTGTGTGTGTGTGTGTGTGTGTGTGTGTGTGTGTGTGTGGGGAGAAAAAAAAGTACTTAGTAAACAGTGGATTGACAGTTGAGAGGCGGGCCAAAGGAGCAAAGCTCAACCCCCTCAAACACAACTAGGTGAATACACACACACATACACATGCACCTCACCACACTAGAAGACAGAAGAGTAAGGGGAGACATGATCACTATCTACAAAATTCTCAGAGGAATTGACAAGGTAGATAAAGATAAACTGTTCAACACGGGTGGTACGCGAACAAGGGAACATAGGTGGGAGCTGAGTACCCACATGAGCCACAGGGATGTTAGAAAGAACTTTTTCAGTGTCAGAGTAGTTAACAGATGGAATGCATTAGGCAGTAATGTGGTGGAGGCTGACTCCATACACAGTTTCAAGTGTAGATATGATAGAGCCCAGTAGGCTCAGGAATCTGTACACCAATTGATAGACAGTTGAGAGGCGGGACCAAAGAGCCAGAGCTCAACCCCCGCAAGCACAACTAGGTGAGTACAATTAGGTGAGTACACACATGGTGTTCTCAGTGTGACTGATGGCCGTGGTTCAAGGCGGTGTTTGATCTCTATACACATACTTTTATGACGAGTCAATTTGTGTCACCTGTAGCACTCCACCTGAGACTGTCAGTCTGTGGCGGTAATTACTGACAGCTGCAAAGGGAAGTGGGGAGAGGCAGGATGAATGTTAGGGAAGAGAAACGTGGAGGGGAGAGAGAGAGAGAGAGAGAGAGAGAGAGAGAGAGAGAGAGAGAGAGAGAGACACTACCTCACCCCCCCCCCTCCTCATGTCCCAGCTGTGAGTGACTGAAGGATTATATTCCATCATAATATAAACTAATTAGGCTCAGCCGCCTTCCTATAGGACTTTAAACTAATTGTTTGTTATGACAAGTTTCATGTATTACTGAATACGTAAGACAATTAGGCTTGTTGAGTAATATTTTTGGATATGAAATGGTCATGACACGAAAAGGAGGATATAGTGGAGGAAGGGAAGGAGGTGGAGGAGGAAGAGGAGGAGGAGGAGGAGGAGGAGGAGGAGGTGGAAGAGGATGAGGAGGAAGAGGAGGAGGTGGTGAAGAAGATGGGGGCGGGGACATGATACCAAACAGCGGTAGACCATGAAGGGGAAACCACTTCTATGAAATACGTCCACAAAAGGGCCAGTAAGGAGGGATACGACCAAGTGTCTCCTCTGGAGCACACATTAACAGGATAACATCAGCGTCATGCTCTAACATGACCATCATCACAGCACCACCACCAACCACACACCCAACTCACAGATCTATAGGTAGAGGAGTTGAGAACGTTTAGGTCTGTCCTGGACCATTATAAAGTCGTGTCCGCATACCGTAATTATCTGCTTCTCTGCTTCTAATGCTGCTGATGTCTACTCTATTTCCTGTTCGTCTCGTCCTCAACATTACTATGGTGAAAATGGCCGTACACTGAATGACAGACTTAACGAACACAAAAGAAGTGTTAAGTTAAGACACAAACAATGCTCTCTAATGTCAAGTTAGGGACTCTAATCATCCTATTGATTGGTCTTCTTCAAAAAATAATTTTTCCTGCCTCTACTCTACACAGACGCCGTCTTGACAGGGCTCTGATACACAACCTACCCAACATGAACCTGAGTCCTGGCTGTGTTGGTGTTGACTCTTCCCTCTCACAGTATATACTCTAATGCTCCAACCTTCTTAACAAATGTGATCTGACTTAGCTTTAGCGCCTCTAGGTTATCTTTCCTTTACTTCTCTTATGTTGCTAGCTCTTTTTCACCTCATTCTCTTCGCCATTTGTCATTCTGCAGTTGTCTTCAATTCTGCCATATTCCTACACTTGCACCTTATTCCTGCAGTACTTCGCACACAGTAATCACATTAACGTGATGAATCAATAAGAACAATCAGCTTGAGCCATGAGGACCTGCACCCTGGGCACTGTCAAGCCTTGAGCCAATGAATCAGTGGTTTAATGCCTGGGAGTACCTGGGGTCCGGGCTCGAGTCCTCCTCGTGGCTCCAACAGACTTGTTTACATTTACTTCTTCCCTTGCCCATACTTCACCTCCCTTCACATCTTTCCCATACCTCAACCACACTCTACACTTCTGCCCTCTCACTTTTCAGCTCGTTCCCTATCCTTATAAAGTGTCTCCACCGCTCCTTTTCAGGACCGAAACGTCGTTAGTTCCTATACTTTGAGATGTGTGGGTTGTGTGCATAATATTCAGCTGTTTATTGTGACATATTGTCTGTAACCCTCAGGAACTTCAGTGAAGAGTCATTCAAAACTCTGTTGACCACATGCATCAGACTACTTCTGGAATATGCAGCGCCAGCATAGATTACTAATCTCGTTAAACAAAGCTGGACACACTCTAGAGGTATTCCTCCTCATTAGAGCTAGAAGGTATGTGTTAGAAGAGTAAAGAGGAAGGAGAGGCATAGGTGAAGGGAAGTATAGAAGTGGGAAATACAGTGAGAGGTATGAAAGCAGGCGGGCTGTCCGCCTTGCTGACACGATGTGTGGGTGTTGGCAGCTAAGCTAAGCTGGCTCCCTCTTGTCAGGGAGCTGTGAGTGTGTGAGAGGTTCTTCACATGTGTTTCACCATATATGGATGTCTATAGATGAATACTGTAGCATTCATATATACACACTCCGATGCTTCCACACATGTTGTTCTGTTTAAGGCTCTTTATTTTATTATTATTATTTATTGAGTTGTCATACATACATATTCATATATATACATATATACATATACATATGCATATACACTACTATACACACATACACATACATACACACATACTCATTTTTTCAATTATGGGGGAAGGATATCTGGTCAGTATTTCATCTGGGAATTATGTACTGTGGGGCGGGGTTTGCATCTAGTAAATCGAGGCTCTTGGGCCACCAGCTGTGGGAGCGGGGCGTCTCATCTTGGAGTAATCTTTCTAACATTGGGTCCTCTAACATTTCGATGGTGTTCCACACCCTGATGGCTTGGTGCTGC